GCAAAGCACCAGAATCCATCATCATATTAATTGCCAAGAAAGTCTTTGAGCCCTACCTGAGTCCCATAAGCATTAATAGAATGATTGTAGCCCAGCACTTTGTTTGGAAAAGTATCAACCTGCCCACCCCCAAAAAAGGTAAGCTGAGAGTAGTAGGGAGGGTGAGTGGGTGGGGTTAGAAAAAATGACAAAAATCATTTTCATAAATTTATTTGTAAAAACATTTGGTGATTCCAGTATACTGCCCCCCATGGCAGCCATTTTGTGGATAGCAAGCCTCCCCCTGGCAGCCATTTGAAATAGTATCCCCCAAATCCCAAGCGCTTATAGGATTGGGGATGGAATAAGAGAATCAAGGAAGAGACATCAATAACATGCAGTTGCCTACAGGCCTTCGTCTATCATTATCTCTATCTAACCTTGTTAGGAGAATGTTTCTGAAAATAATTTGGGTGAAAAAGCAAATATATTACTCTGACCTGTTTAATAGATGGGTAAGATAAAAGTATGATAATTTGTGTCAAAGTAAATTTTAAACTGAAAAAAATTATATAGATGTATATATTAACATAATAAAGTATTAACATAATAAAGCTCTATAAAGAGGCTTACACATTAAAACATACCTTTCATTGTGAATATCAAACCAAATGCCATTTTTCTTTTTACTTGCCTTCCACCTGGCCCCAGTCCAGTAACCACTGCCATTATCCAAAGAGGCAGTCTGAGAAAGGGCTGCATTTTGGTTGCTGGAGAAACCTGGGCCAAAGTGCGGCTGATGCTTGATGAGAATGGCAAAATCATGGAAGTTGCTTCTCCCGGTATGCCCACAGAGATTGTGGGGTGGAAGGAGGTCCCTGCAGCAGGAGAAGAAATCCTTGAAGTAGAATCTGAGGTACAGTACATTTTTTGTTTCAGTATTCAAATGTAATGCTCCTAGACCTGTCTCTGTCCAGTGTTCATCCAAAGATTCAGTCCTCCAGGATGCACCAGAAAAAGAGCTGCAGAAATGAAATGCCAGGGAAAAGGAACATATTTGTTTCAAGATATGGAGGTAGTTGAATTTAAGCAGGCAAGAGTATACTTTTTTATCTACTCCACATGGCACTTACTCAAAACTGGACCCATATTTTTATATCTCTGTTGTTGATTCATTTAGTTGAGAAATATAATATTGGTTCTGTTTTAATTTCTGATCATTCACCAGGAGTAATGTCTTGGTTTGCGTAAAAAAAATCCCAACTGGGAGAAGTAACATTTTAATTTTTTTTGTTGGAAGATGCTCAGTTTGTTGAGTAACAGTAAAGGTACTGATATGTTCTTTTTCAAATTAAAAGAGGGTCAACTAATTTGGGGATAGTCTTGGATATATTTAAAGCTTTTGTTTGGGGTAAGCTAATAACTTATGCCTCTGTGGAAAAAATGCATAAATTACACTATAGAAATCCTATATGCATAAATTATAATATAGAAATTCTAAATTCTGTGTACAATTTAGAATTATAGAAAAGACATTTTCTCAGGACTGAGGATGATCAGACACATCTTTGGACATTATTGGGCAGAAAATTAAAATATGATTTTCGCTCTTATGAGAAATTGACATTTTGGAGTACAGGTAGATCTCACTTACTGACTGCCTCGTTCAGTGACTGAAGTTACCACAGTGCTGAAAAAATAACTTTATGACCAATGTCCACATTTGCAACTTTCACAGCATCCCTTAGTCACGTGATCACCATTATAGTCAATATGCATTGTTGTCCTGTGCCTGACCTGTTTTTTCCCCCCTTGCAGAGTAGAGAGATTGGAGGGGAAGGGATTACAAGAGAGTAAGCAGGCACACAATGGGGAATACTCATTGAAAGGAATGCAGTGGCGCCGGCAGCCCCAAGAGCACTCAGGGCTGGGAGCCACAGGTACACTACGCAAACAGCCTGTATTCCCCCATTAGTATCTAGTATAATTTTGAAATTTGAATACTTTGGCAGTTTCATCAAGTTTTTAAAACTTTTTCTTCGTTTTCTTTGTTATTTTTTGCATTTTTTTTAGCGTTCTAGCTTCTAGTTTTCTCACTTTTTTAACCAATATAGTTTAGTTTTTCTTTTTTTAAGTATATGGTTAATCAAAATGGTTTGATATGCTTTTTTATGGAACTAGTATACAAATATATTAATAGTAGTAGCAGAAGAAAACACTAACACTGCTGAAACTGAAGCTAGCTGTAGCATGCTACTTGCATCCTGTTAGAACTGGTTTCTTTTCCCTTGCATGGGATTGTGAAATTGTGGTAGAAACTCCTTTCCCTTTGCTCAAAGCTTGTTCCAGAAAGCCTAGTGTACTCTCTGTTCTCTCTATGTCTAACTTCTTTTCCACTATGTAAGGTAAAGTATGTTAGGAATACAGGCAAGAGTAGGTACTAAATAATTAATTGAAAACTTTAGTGCTTGAGAACCCCAGGTGTTCTGTTTCCAATGTGGAGAGTAGGGCATTAATATGCTCATGGTGATGTTTGTTGATATTTACTAGCCTCCTTCCCCCATTTTATTTATTTATAAGTGTATGCACATAGGCACGTACAAACATAATACTTTCTTCGAATAAAAGCAACATCCCAACTTCTAGACCATCTTTTTTCCAAGTTTATCTTTGTCCCCCATGTGGACCCCATTGCTTTTTTAGAAACTAAAAATGATGGGTAGCTAAAATGCTTTGTTTTGAAATAGGGACTACAGGGCAGGGAATGGCAGACTGTGGTGGTATTGTACTTGTGGGCTCACAGAAGTTGGCTGGCCATTAACAAGACATAAAAGTCTTGGATATTCTTTTTCCTTCCTAGATTTGTTAGATTCATAGGTTCTTCTGCAACCATTTGTGCACATTTTATCTCCTCAAAAAAATCTAAGCTCTTGGAGAGACTTTATGGATGTGGCAGAGAGTAGCAGATGGAATAAGAAATTGACAGAAATCTCTTGTTTGTGGGTATCATCATTATTATTATTGTTGTTGCTATTATTATATTTTTATCCTGCCTTTTTTATATATAACTCAAGCAGCAAACATATCTAATATTCCTGCCTCCTATTTTCCCAACAACTCTTTCATGCCTAAAGGAGGCCTAGAACTCATAGTCTTCTGGTTTCTAGGCCAGCACTGTAATCACTACAACAAAGTGCAGTGGAACAACAATGATAGGAGCCAAGCCATGGTGCTAAATTAACTGGTTAATTTATTTTGTTCTTCTGCCAAGCAAAGGGCACGTGAAGTTGTTGAGTGGAGAATCTATGTCAAACAGCAGGAAAAAATAAAGAAAGATCAAGAAATAATAGAAGAGAAACAAAGGGCCCATCAGGAAGCCTACAGGAAGAAGCGAGAGGGTTTCATGAACATGAACTGGAGAGAAAGAGCATCCATATTAAGGAAGAGCCAAAAGGATCCCATGACTAGGCAACCTGAAAAAGACATTAAGAGTGACAAAAACATGTTGCCTCTCATTATCAAAGGTATAGTCCTTTTTCTACTGCTTATTTATCTTTGTACTCAGCTCTACACTCTTGTTTGAGCTTTTGAACTTGAACCCCAGCATCCATCTAGGCCCATTGGGGGAGTACAGAGTATGAACGTTCAATCACAAATTTGTCACAACATTAAAATCAGCTGCTGGGAAATATTTGGATACTTGTTTTCTTTCCGAAATAGATGCCTTTGTTGCTGAATTCCCCCTCATTGAATTTAAACAGCATACATTCCCAATACTATAAAGTTCATGTGCTATGTGCCATGTTTGAATATGATTTTTCTTCTTTCCACTGAAACTAACTAGGTTTCTTCTTTCACCAAGGTGATGTTGATGGCTCTGTAGAAGCCATTTTGAATATTCTGAAAACCTATGATGCTAATGAGGAATGTCAGTTAGATGTCATCCATTGTGGGATTGGGGATATTAGTGAAAATGACTTAAATCTAGCAGAATCGTTTAAAGGTAAGGAGTTATGATCTGAGATTATTAATTTGTTGGACTAGCTAGAACTAATGGATGTTTGGTCTTTAATTTAATTAAATTAGGTAGTCAGTCATAAATGCAGAGAGTGGTCTACAGTTACTGTGTGCAATTCCCATCTACCCACCCTTACAATTTAGTGTCAACTAGATTGTTGTTATATGCACATCTGATGTTGCTTATTGGATGGCACACAAGGCTCCTTTTCAGGAAACTGAAATAATGCTCCATATGAACTTCTGAATGTAGGATAGGCTATTCATGTACTGCCAGTGTTCATATACTGCTTTTGTCTGTATAAACAGAAATTGGTGATGGTGGAAATACAGACATGTTTAATATCACTTTTAAAATTGGCTTTCCTCAAAGTTGTGTGGATTGTGTGCAAGTACAGAATTTGTAAATTCAGTGTACAAAAGCAAAATGTCTAACAATAAGGACTGTGAAAGTGAGCTTGAAAGAATATATGCTCCTTCACACTTAACATTATGGCACAGTTTAACAAAGGAGTGAACCTGAAGGAACAAGTGAACTATGGACAGTTTATGTTGATTGATTATGTGCCATCAAGTCAGTGGTGACTCTTAGTGACCACATAGATAAATTTTCTGCAGGAGGATTTGTTCCTAACCTGTTCCTTCAGGTCTTCCAACAGTGCAGTCATCACTGCTGTAATTAAGGCCATCCATTAAGGCCTCTGCTTGTCCTCTTCCTCTCTTTCCTTCTCTCTTCCCAACATTGTAGACTTCTCCAGAGAGTTAGGTCTTTGCATGTGTCCAAAGTAGGATAATCTGAGCCTAGCCATTTGTGCCTCAATTGAGAACTCTAGGTTATGATCCATTTGTTATTTTTCTTGACTCTCCGTAGTATTCTCAGAAGCCTTCTCCAACACCAAAGTTTGAAAGCATCAGTAGTCTGTCTTGCTTCTTCAAAGTCCAACTTTCACTTCCATAGTGTCACAGGGAAAACCATTGCCTGCATGATTGTGATCTTTGTAGATACAGAAACATCCCAGCATCTGAATATCTTTTCTAAGGCCTTCATGGCTACAGTACCAAGTGCTAATCTGTGGCATATTTCTTAATTGTGGTTCCTTGATCCTAAAGCAAAAGCTGCCCGTCCTTTCAGTATGTTCATTGTCAGTTGTAAGGCTGGTTGGTGTACCTGTTGTCATTAGTTTAGTCTTTATATTTAATCTTAGTCCCATTTTTTTACTCTGCTCTTAACTTTCATTATTAGAGCTTCCAATGCTTTGCATTTTCAGCTTTCAGAGTAGTGTTATCAGCATAGCAGAGATGACTATATTTATTCCTCCCTCATTAAAATTACATTCATCTTCCAATCCAGTTCCAATTCAATTCCAATCTCTCTCTCTCTCTCTCTCTCTCTCTATATATATATATATATATATACACATATATATATATATATTCTGCCTGTAGGTTGAATAAATAAAGGGAGAGGATACAGCCTTGTCTCACTCATTTACCTCTTTTGCTTTGAGTGGCTGTGGCTTCCTGACCTGTACATAGGTTTTGCATGAGGACAATGAGATGTTCTGGATTCCTGTTTTCCTATGCACATCTCACACCTCGACATAATCAATGCAGTCAAAGGCTCTTCTGAGTCAAGGAAGCACATACTTTTTTGTTTGTATTTTTTGGCTTTCTCAATTATCCAATGTGTATCAGTAATGATTCTGTTCCTTGGCCTTTTCTAAAGCCAGTTTGAACATCTGGCATCTCCTTTTCCATGTACAGCTCTAATCTGCATTGGATGATAAGTTTATGTACTTCCCTTTTTCTAAAAAGCTAGGGCTATTGCAGTTTTAGTTCATTTCCATAATATCTGGCTTGTTACAAATTAATCAGTATGGTTTGAAATAAACTAGTCAGTTTATAAACAAGGCCTCTTTCAAACTTTAGAATGTTGATCTTGCCAGTTTATTTTAAACCATGAGCTCTGTTTAATCTGCAAGTATATGCCAAATTTCATAGAATATCTATTATTTTCCTGGCTGCCAAGGAGTTGGGAGTGTATAAATCCAGATTTTCACCTGGGGCTGTACAGACTTACTACCCAAGTTCAAATATTGCTGGTTTGAGGTTACTATGGTGAATGAACCATATTGTATTAATCCAGCAAATTCTTCCTTTTTCAACAAAATAGTGAAGCCTATTGGCATTACACAGGGCCTGAACCAGGTCTCAATATACACAGTGCTTACTGAAATCCCAGAACCCCAGAATGTCAGTAAATCTTTCAGCAACCAAAACCTATTTGCCACCCTTAAAAAAATAAGAGTAAATCCTGCAGTTTGCAAGAATATACAAACCGACCTAAGTGAATTTGCTTGAATTTCAAAGTTTAGCTTTGGGAAATAAAAACCTTTAGATTGCACCCTAGTCTTAGAATACTTGGCACATTCTGAAGTTATTTAATAAAAGAGAAGCAACAGTACTTTATATTTGTTCTCTTGTTAACTTGACAGGTATCATCTATGGATTCAATGTAAAGGCACATAACTCTATTCAGCAGATGGCTGCTAAAAAGAAAGTAAAGGTGAAAATACACAACATCATCTACCGGCTTGTGGAAGACTTACAGGAAGAGCTCAGCAGCACTTTGCCCTGTGGTGTAGAGGAGCATGTGTTAGGTATATCTCGGATATTCCCGAAGTGGGCTTCTGGAAGTATCTGGTTGACAACTGGGGGGGACAGAAATCTGAGCTTGATAAATAATCTTTGCTAAGCTGGTAGCCTCCAGTTGTGTTGGGGTCTGCAATTTATAGAATTCAAACTTAGGTAAGGTTGCCTCCTAGGATCAGACAAAGTTACTACAGGATGAATACTACTAGGGCACAGGTATTTCTGAAAAAAATAAAGAATATAAAGTTATTTTTGGCTGCTGTGCTAAAGGAAATAGATCACAGAATGTTGCAGATGTTCCTCTTTTAAAAAAAAATCCAATAGTTTCTATCTGACAAGACAGAAATCAAGCTGCATTTCAGTAGTTGAAACCCAACAGCAAAATAGCTGTTACATGTTCTCAGGCATTTTTTTAAACTCTGTACTGTATAGCTCCTGCCTTTCCCATGAAAAACAAAAACTAAAATAAATTATGCAAGCCGGTGAGAACTTGCTGCATGATGTAACTAAAAACAACATCCCGGGGGCGGGGGAGCAGATTTTAGCAGAGTAGGTCAAGTTACTGTTTATGTTGGTTTTGGGAGTCTACATTTCAACCATTATGATTCTCATGCTCCCTTTAATTTATTTCAGGAGAAGCTGCTGTTTTAGCAACCTTTGAGATCGATGTAGGAAAAGTTAAAGTTCCAGTAGCTGGCTGTAGAGTACAGAAGGGACTACTAAACAAAAAAATGAACTTTAAATTAATCCGTAATGGAGAATGTATTTGGACAGGTGGGTAAAGTGCATTTCTGACTAGCTAAGTTTGTTACTCAGGTTCCCAGTTTTGTTGAAATGTATTTTCTGATTTGTTGAAGGTGTTGCTTCTGCTTAATATTTTTGCTAGATAACATGTCTGGATTATTTCCTTAAATATAAATGATTTGTGCAGTTCTGTATGAATTCTCTACATATGAGCCACCCTTATAGCATAACCAGCTCCAATTTACTGAGATTTCTAATAAACTGCACTATTATTTGTACTGAAATTTTACTCATGTTTTATCTAGGATACTTATCATCTCTGAAGCACCATAAGGAAGATATTGCTATTGTGAAGACTGGCATGGATTGTGGCCTTAGTTTGAACAACAATCTAAAATTTGAAGTTGGAGATGAAATTGTTTGCTTCAACACAAAGGAAGTTAAGCAGAAGATTTCTTGGGACCCAGGATTTTAAATCTTGTCTAAAATATGGCAGGACAAGAAAACTTGGACCTTCATTCAGTATCAGACTGTAGAACCCTCTGGATAGTATCTTGCATTGTACAGTTAACAGGAACATCATGTTTTAATTAGACTTCCACTATTTCTAATGTAAAATCCGCTACAGAAAATGGAAAGGACTGCCATTGCAGGAGAAGCATATTTAAGTGATATGATGGAAATACTGGAATAACATTTCAAAACCTAAGTGTTCACCACAGGAAAAACCAAAACATTACATTTGCTAACTGCAACTACTGTTCTTCAGTAGTTATTAAAAAGTTTGTATGAGGTGTTCATCGCAATTCTGCATTTTCTGTGGTACTCAAACCATAATAGCTCCAACATGCATGTTTAAACTACAGAACCTACCACACCCAAACCATTCTTAAATGGATTTGAAACCTGAAGGTTGATGTCATCCCTCACACTGTAATCTTTACAATGCTTTCTGGAGGTGCATACCAACATGGTTATCCAACAATAAACTGCAAACTGCTTTTCCAGGAGATAAGCCTTACGTGAGAATTAGATCTTTTTAGGTAATTGTGCTTTTCAATAACAATGGCATTGCATAGAAATGAATGAGAGAACTACCGATATCAGTAATGGCACAATAACAATATAAACAAATGGTAATACGATACTTCTGGAATACAATTTTGTAGCTGTGAAAGCATAACAGCATGCTAGTAAGTGCAAGACCCCTTTCCTTAGGAATATGTGCTCTAGAAGGCAGTGGTTTTATGATGCAGGGTAAAAGGACAGAAATCTGTTAACACAATTTCTGCAAAAGGAACTAAAGTTACTACCAAGCAAAATGCCTTTTACTAAAAAGACAAAAGTAGCATTATAACAAAACCTCAGCTTTTGAAAAAGCTCACTAGTTCTATGATTTAAAAAAAAAATCCAATTAATTTAAAGCATGGTTTTGTCTGAACTACAGCTAGCAGATTTATTATTTATTTATAAAATATTATTATTATAAAAAGCTCACTAGTTCTATGATTAAAAAAAAATCCAATTAATTTAAAGCATGGTTTTGCCTGAACTACAGCTAGCAGATTTATTATTTTATTTATTTATCATATTTATATGGCCGCCCATCTCACACAAGGTGACTCTGGGCAGCGTACAATTAAATAATACATAAAAACAATTACACATAAAAAACTGTAACAACACACAAAACAGGAA